GCAACATCACGTCCGCCTGATCAGCGTAGCAGGTTCGACTTGTTCATGCTGTAATGCATCACCTCCACTTGTTCATAAACTTGGGATTGGAGCTCGGTATATTTACCATTGGACTTGGATGTTTTATTAACCTACAATAATATAAACAACAAAGGGTCAATGATTGAAGGTAAACAAATAAAATATTTGAAACAAGGACACTCAACAAATGCAATGCGTGGAATTGAAAACAAGTAGCCATAAGAACTTGATGATTGGGGCTTACCTCTGGCAGGCTGGGCGGGAGGGGGTTTTGGGATGGAGGCGGGTTGCTGGTTGGCGATGGGGGCGAATGGAGATGAGCTATCTTCAGGGTCAGATAGAGAGTCATTGGTTCATGATGTGGGCGAATAGCGGTCGTCCAGATGAAGCTTGTTGATGAAGTATGAAAATTTGGTCAAAGGCTGCAGTGCAGCAACTCAATTTGTTCAGATGCTTGAAAGTGTAGAGCAGCACCTCCGTAGATTGGCCATTGGACTTGAAGGTTTTTTAACATGCAAAAATACAAACAATAACGAGTTACAAGTTGAAGGTAAACAAGGAAAATATTCAAAGCAGGAATATTTAATAGCTGCAATGCGCGAAAGTAAAACCAAGCAGCCATAACAACTTGAAGCTTGAGGCTTACACCGGAAATTCAACGGCTGGCTGGGTGGGTGGCACTTTTGGTATGGAGGCGGGTTACTGGTTGGAGATGGGGGACGAATGGCGCTGAGCAATCTCCAGGGTCGAATGGCGGGTTGCTGATTCACGATGGGGGACAAATGGCAGTCTTCAACATGAAGCTTGTTGGTGAAGCCCGAAAATTTAGTCAAAGGCTGCAGTGCAGCAGCTTTGCATGTTCAAATGCTTGGAAGTGGATAGCAGCAGCTTGGTAGATTGGCCATTGGACTTGAATGTTTTGAACCTGCAAAAATATAGACAACGAGTCAGAAATTGAAGGTAAATAATGAAAAAATTCAAAGCAAGGACACTCAATAGATGCAATGCGTGAAAGTAAAATCAAGTAGCCATAACAATTTGAAGCTTACCTCTGGAGATCGAACGGCAGGCTGGGCGGGGGGCGATTTTAGGATGGAGGCGGGTTGGTTGGCGATGGGGGCGAATGGCGGCGAGCAATCTCCAGGGTCGAATGGCGGGTTGCTGGTTCTTGATGGGGGCGAATGGCGGTTGTCTGATTGCAGCTTGTTGATGAAGTTCGAGAATTTGGGGATTGAACTTCACCAATTCAATCTTACGGTATTATAGCACCAAAACACATAGGTGGTGTGTCTAGACACCTCTTTTTCCGAAGCTAAAATTATCCCACATCCGTGATGCTGCTGGCTGTGCTACTCGCCGCTATATTTCGTGTGTTTTTCTGCCGCTCGTAGCGGGTGATATGGTGTCCCTGCTCTGTGAGGAGGGTCTCCATGAGAAACCTTCAGCAATGCGAGGATGAGAGAGATGAGTGGTTGGGGTACTAGACTCGGGAAACACAAAAAACTTGGGGCATGGTAGTCACCACCACCTGCTGCCAGTGAAATAGCATGCGCAGTTTTTCTGGGAAGCTAAGCATTGCGATGTGTACAGTGCTAGAAAGGCATGATGCCGGCGTTGCGGAAGCTAGTTTTTAGAAAGAGCAAGGCTGAAAGACTTGCACTGAATGGTTGAAAACAGAATGAGAATAATGGAATTGATTGATTTTGAAACCACACAGCAGGGAATAAAGGAGAACCAATAATTGTACCACCAATAATGGTAACTCCAATAAAGGAGTACCATTAATTCTACCCCCATACCTCTATACTCCAATAATTTCAGCCCTACAATAATTGTACAATTATTGTAGGCCTGAAGTCTTATAAAGAGGACTACAGAAAAATCTAACAGCATACCTATTTCTTTATGTTATGTATTTCTCAACACTCCCCTTGCTGTAGATTTTACCGAGGTTGTTTTGGGGAATATTTGTGAACGCTGGTGATTGCGGAATAGATTGGGTTACGCGTGGATTTCGTGACTCGATTGTTGTCGCGGCGATGATTGCGGTGAAACTCGCCGTTGGAATTTTATGTGGGGATCTTTCCGTTGCGCTCGAATCTTGAGGGGTGAAACGCGTTGACAGTTGGGTTAGGTTGTCGGTTTGCAGAACATTCTACCTCAGGTGTTCCACTGTTGCGCCCTGTTTTTCCTTTCTCACAATTCTCGCTACCCCGTCCGCTAGGGGTTTCTGCCCACCCCATGCTTTCCCAACCAGTTGCTGTCTCTCACGTCCAGCGACGCTGCTCCTGCTTCTCGTTTCTCGTGCAGATCTGATTCAGCAGCTCGAGTTACTCTAGCCATGGATCCCCTAGTCTCGGCTGCAATTGCTGGTGGTAATGACTGTCGATATTTATGGCGGTCGATTAGGGGAAGACGCGCGACCTGTTTCAGCCGTTGCCGAGCCGTTGGATGATTGATTTCAATGCATGCCCTGTCTCTCTCGGTCACATGACCTAAGCAGGATGTCGCGCTGCTCTTTCCCGCCTTCCAGCACTCACGCGACTTACTTTGCTATCGTGCGACTGCTGCTTTAGTCGCGACGGATTTTCCTGTGTGTGACGTGCCACCGCTGAGCGCGCGATGCTCTCTGCTGCGTGCGACCAGCAGCAGCGATCCCACGGCTGCGTCAGCTCCGGTTTCGACCAGCACCTATGACTGGTGCGCTGCCGCTTCACCGTGCGTGCCGCTGCTTCTCCGGGCACGCTGTCACGGGTCTGAAGCTAGATGTGCATCATAGCAGCAGCAATTTACGATAGCGGCGGCAGGTGATCATGATGGCAGTCAAGCTGCCGCGGCAGCGTGCACCCGCTACCAGAGGCTGCGGGCCGCAGACGCACGGCGGGTGCGTGAATGGCGCACGGCGGGTGCGTTAATGGCGCACGGCAGCTGCTCCTGGTGGCGCATGGCTGCTGCTCCTTGCGGCGCGCGGCATCTTCTCCTGGCGGTGCATGGCTGCTGCTTCTGGCAGCGTACGGCTGCTGCTCCTGGCGGCGCAGGATTTTCTCCTTCCTTCCGAGGTGAGGATGCTAAGGCAAACCTGACTGTTTCACCCATGTCACCCTGTGCTTGCTCCATGTTCCCGCTACACCAGGTGGCGTACGGAAGCAGCTACAACTGGGACGCAAGCACCTGGCGGCTGCTTCTACACCTGGCGGCTACTTGCATCTGGCGGGGTGCTGCAGCAAACGTCTGCCAGCAGTACCACCTGATCGCTTGCAGCAGCTCCTCCTGACGCCCTGCAGCACCTGAAGGCCTGCAGCACCTCCCCCTGATGCGCTGGCCGCTTGCACCCGGTGCAGCACTAGCAGCGAGTGGCAGCGGTATCAGCAGCACCTGCGTCACCTTGGTGAGCAGTTCCAGCAGCGCCTGTCTTCAGCTGTCTCCCCCTACCTCACATTGGAATCATGCCTTTGTATTTGGTAGGACTTTGTCAGCTTCTTCTTGCCGATTTTCTTGACTCATGCTGTTTTCTTCTCCCTCTGAAATCAGCAAGCATATGAAGTCTTCAAGAATGGCCGTTGCAGTTCACAAGTGGTTGTGACCGACCATCAGCAATGACTGTCCAGCAGAATATTTGATGGCTGCTCTTGCCACTGATTGCAGTAGGTGTTCTCATGATGCATATGTGCTGCCTCTTGTGATGGCAAAAATGAAAGATGGTTGTGAGATGAAATCCTGATTGGTTGCTCCCCAAGAAAATCCACACCCCACTCCCCCCTCTCACTCGTGTGATTGGAGTCTTGTACATGCGTGAGCACGCACACAGCACCAAACACGAGTGAGATGTGTAGAGTTACGTGATGCCTTGTTGTCCAGCACCCCTTGAGAAGCCCGGATGTGAGAGTGCAGCCCCAGCGCCTTCAATCTGCTGACTGGTGTCGGACGATGCTCTAGGTGGAATTAATTGGAGACCGCACAAGAGGCTGCAGGTGAGATGTTGCTTTACTGTGAGAGGCTTGGTGAGAAAATCCGCAGCTTGTTGAGCTGTTGGGAAATACTCCGGTCGTACAACTCCCTCACGAACGGCCTTCCGTGTCCAATGGTAACGCACGTCCATGTGCTTGATGCGTTGACTCATCTGCTCCCCGGTTGCAAGTGCGATTGCGCTTTGGTTATCCAGAAAGATGACGGTAGGTTCTCGCCGAAAACCGAGGTCTTCACACAAGAGGCGAAGGTATGTAGCTTCCCGTGCCCCTTCGAACAGTGCAACGTATTCTGCTTCAGCTGTTGATGTTGCAATGATCGTTTGCTGTTTAGTCCTCCAACTGACAGCAGCTCCTCTCAAGGTAAACACGTAGCCTCCAACGGAGTGGCGCCTTGCTTCATTTGCATAATACGAGTCCGTGTATCCGTGAAGCACCAAGTCCCCTCCTCCATAGACCAGCCCCATGTTTGCAGTGTTCTGTAAGTAGTTGAACTTCCTGTGGATTCCAAGCACTGTTGTTGCTGTTGGTTTATCTGGCCAGCATCTGCGCTGCATAGGTTATGTCCGGCCTCCCTGCTGTTGAGATGTACAACAATGTTCCAAAATGTTTCAGCACCAATTGACCATCAATCTCGTCTGGTGGTTCTCCTTGTGGTCCAGGTTCCTTGGGGATCGGTGTCCGAACTCCGAAACCGCTGCCCTCCATCCCGAAGGTCGCCAAAGCCTGTGAGATGTACTTTGCGAGTCCGAGTGAGATTTGGTCACCTTCAACAGCGATGTTAAGGCCCAAAAACTGCGTCATTGTCTTGTAGACTGTTAAGGTAAAGTTTTGCTTCAAATGTTGAATCACAACATTAATGCCTTTGTCGTCATGGGACTGGATGAGGACGTCATCGACGTAGGTGAGTAGCCACACCGTGTCCTTGCCGCTTCTTTTCCAGATAAACAGATATGGGTCTGATTCGGATTGCACCATGTCGAGCTCCAACAAGACACCTCGTAAGTGCTGATGTTACAAGCGTGGTGCATGTTTTAGTCCATACACACTGCGCTTGAGCTTCCAAACTTTGTCTCCGTTGCTTCGTGGTTCCGGGGACCTCACATACACGTCCCAGTCGATTGGAGTGTACAAGAACGATTTGGAGATGTCCAGTTGCACCACTTTCCGCTTCGTAGCAGATGCACCAGCAACGAACGTGCGTGAGGTCGGGCCTTGGCTAACCGGTGCATATGTATCATCGTAAGTTCCCCATGTTTGTCCGCATCCTTTGACCACCCAGCGCGCTTTGAACCGGTTTGGCTGTCCATGCTCATCTCGTTTCACCCTTAAAACGACTCCTTCCGTCAACACAGGCGTTCGCTTGGGTACGTCCAATCTGTCCTCCACTTCGTATGTGTCCAGCTCGTCGAACTTGGCCAATTCTGCATCCACAGCGGCTTGCCAAAGAGGTGCGTACTGGTTTGTTGCCATCTCCTTGAGCGTTTTGGGCTCTTTGTACGTTAGGTCCACCATGGGGACGCTGGCCACTGCAAATCCTAGCACATGTTGCTGCAAGTTGGGAAGGGTGTTGAACGCTTGTGCTGCCTGCCGTTTCCCAAACAGCACGTCCAGTCCTGTCATCTTGTACGTCCCTTGTCCTTCTCCTCCAAGCACAGTCACAAGTGGGGTGAAGTGAACCCACCGTGGAGCTGCGTCTTGATCTGCCAGCTCGATCCCACCAGGTGCGTAGGCAAAGTCATAGAGATGATGTGCCTCATTCTCCACTTCGTTGGTTTCAGCACGATTAGAGACGCCAGCTGGAGGTAAGTCACTTGCTGCAGCCATTTCTTCTTTATCGGCTGTGTCGTCAATGGGTGCATCCTCTTGATTTGCGTCAGCTTCCTGTCCTTCTGTGGCGTAGGTGTCCGTGGGCGATGTAGGAGATGGTGGGGATGCAGGGAATGAGTCAAACTTGGACTCAATGCTTCCTTCCCCAGAAGTCCAGTCGTCAATGTGTGGTAAGACCTCTTCCGTGTAGCGATGTCGTTCGAGTACTAATTCAGCGTCCGGAATCATGAGGTTATTAAAGAGGCGAGCTGAGCGTTTGTCCGTGTCAACATCACTTGCCAAGTTCCGCACGATCCATGCCTTTCGAGCGTTGGAGAGTCCAAGGAACATCCCAACTCTTCCTCTTTGCTTGAACTTCCCAAAGCTGCCTTGGGGAGGGAGATAGTAGCAGAGCCACCCAAAAGTTCTTGGTTTTAAAACATCTGCTGCCTTTCTGTCATCATGAAGTACGGTGAGTGTGCTGACGGGTTGCTGCTGCAGCTGATGCGGTTGTGTAGCCATGCTGCGTACTCCAGTGCGTAAGGCCTGAACTTAGAGGAAAGGCTGGCTCCGGTCGTCATTGCACGCACTCGATCCATGAGCGTGCGGTTGACTCGTTCATCGACTCCATTCTGCTACGGTGTGTGTGGTAGCGACGTTTGGTGACTGATGCCATGAGAGCTCAAGTAATCCGTGAAAGCATTTGCGGTGTACTCCCCCGCGTTGTCCGTGCGTAAGGCAGCCAGCGGCTTCGTGGGCAACTTGGTCTTCAAATCTCGATGCCAAGCCGAGAAAACAGCTGCCATGTCGGATCGGCGAGCCAACGGCGCCACCCACAGGTAATTGGTCTGAGCGTCAGCACGTAGCGAAGTGACGGGTGAGCGTCACCCAAGTCCATGATGTCGCTATGCACGAGCTCCAAAAGTCGAATTGTGCGCTTGTCGCCACCTGTGAGAAATGGGGTCTTGCTCATCTTCCCTCGACGACATGAGTCACGCGGGGGTTTGAGGGGGTTTGTCTGGTCGGATATGGAGAGTCCTTTAAGATCTCCATTGCGTATGATGGGTGACCCAAGCGATTGTGAGCCATGCGATATATGATGGAAATATAAAGCATAAGAAACATATATGCTGTAGCTCCCTTTATGATAAGAAACATAAGAAACATAAGAAGCATAAGAAACATAAGAACCATATATGCATATATGTGATTTTAGTTTAGTACCCTTTATAAGGCTCCTGTCCCTACAATAATTGTACAATTATTATAGGGGCTGAATGGTTGGGGTCTAGAGGTCAGGGGGTAGAATACTCCTTTATTGGGGTTGCCATTATTGGTGGTACAATAATGCCGGATGGATGGATGGGGGTGGGCAGGGTAGCTGATAGCATAAATTTTCTGCTGTGTGGTTTCACAATTAATCCATTCAGTTGCAAGGTTCTCTTGCTATTCTATTTCACAATCAAGACTTCCGTTAAGCCGGCACTATGTCTTTTTAGCATGGTATCAGAGCTAATCAAGGGGGCATGCTGCCAACATTTGGTCATTCACATTATACAGAAATATTAGCATAATTGCATAGCAACGGGCAACGATTGGATCGAGGAAATGACACGGTTCGACGATGAAGTAGATGTCGGATATGTGGCGGTTGAAGAAGCAATCTTGGCTCAACATGAGCACCTGAAGAAGATGATTGCAAAGGGGCCGCCAACACTTCAAGCGTCATTGAGAGCGAAGTTCAATATGCGAATTGGCGAAGAGAGTGGCAGATTTGATAAAGTGGGCGTGGAAGGTGTGAGATTGGAATCTTACACGATTGGTTCTCCCCCACTACGACGTCTTGCCACTAAAGTTCATCCCCTTGGAGTTCTCGCAATGGGCAGATCTCACCTTTATTGGGAAAACATCATACCTCCTCACGTGCCTCATCCACTAATGGGAGTGGATCCTGCATGGAGCACGGAGCGCAGTCAAATGGTGTTGTACGGCATGATCGCGTAGGTATTATGGTGGAACATCACTCTTACGATCAAGACGACGGGATGCAACGCATGGGTGGTCAAGCGAGCAGAGACAACTCACATGCAAAGGACAATACCGGGACCAAGAATGCTGGATCTTCAAGCGGAGGGCAGCAAGAGACAAAGGGAGAGAAAATGAATGGCAATGATGGAAAGGGCGGACGTTCAACTCTGTTGTGTTGGTTCTGCAAGCAACTGGGCCACCCATTCTACAAGTGTCATACGGCACCACCAGGATGGTCAGCACCGGGGTGGGAACAACAAAACAAAAGGAGGACCAACCAACGTACCAGCAACATCCGTTCGATCTCTCCTCGAAATGGTGGCAAACAGAAGGTGGACCAACCAACGTACCAGCAACAGCCGTTCGATCTCTCCTCGAAATGGTGGCAGCCCCAGACGTGACAACAATGGTATAAAGCAACAAGGGGCAGTAGAGAGAGACAACAAACAGACGGTTACATGTATTGCAACGGTTCGACCCTCACCAAGTGCTGGAGGTTCTCTGCGGTTGTTGGACAGCGGATGCAGCCAACACATGACTTCGGACAAAAGGTGGTTCGAAGATTTGAAGGAGTTGGACAAACCTGTGCACGTGGAGCTTGCTGATGGACGCACTCTGAACAGCTGAATGGTGGGCACAATCAGAGCACAGGCATCCGATGGGACAACGGTGCGTTACACCAAAGTGCTCTACATACCCGGATTGAAGTCCAACCTCCTCTCTTACTGTCAGCTGCTGAAAAAGAAAGCTCGGATCAACACAAATGTTGATGGCGACACGGAGATCACCATGACTTGTCAAATAATATGTGTTATATTATATATCTCTAGGTTGTGTAGGGGTGATTCCTTAGAGGGTACAACAAACTTCTCGATAGTCTTGTACCCCCCCCCCCTTTACCTAATCGACCATTCATTCCTCTCTACTCTTAACATGGTATAGAGCAGGAAGTTTCCTAGGGCCCACCACGGAAAACGAATTTTTTTTTTCCTGCCCGAAGCGCGCTTCGCGCCCCCTAGTCGCGCCTCGTGCGCTTGTTCTTAACAGCCCGTCGCGGCCCCCTCTTAAGGTCCCCTCGTGGCCCCCTCTTAAGGTCCCCTCGCGGCCCCGCTTAAGGCCCCCTTCGCGGCCCCTTTTCGCAGCCCCCCCCCTTTCGCGGCCTCGTCGCCGCCCCTTCGCGGCTCTGTCGCCGCCCCTTCGCGGCTCTGTCGCCGCCCCTTCGCGGCTTCGTCGCCGCCCCTCGCCGCCCCTTCGCGGCCCCTCTAGGACACGTTGCGGTCCCCTTCGGCCTCGTCTGCAGCAGCTGCCGCCGCCGAGCCTGCAGCAGCTGCCGCCGCCGAGCCTGCAGCAGCAGCCGCCGCCCCATCTGCTGCAGCAGCCGCCGCCGACCCTGCAGCAGCATCCGCCGCCCGACCTGCAGCAGCAGCCGCCGCTCGACCTGCAGCAGCTGCCGCCACCGAGCCTGCAGCAGCAGCCGCGGCCGAACCTTGCAGCAGCAGCCGCCGCCGGACCTGCAGCAGCTGCCGCCGCCGAGCCTGCAGCAGCAGCCGCCGCCGGACCTGCAGCAGCTGCCGCCGCCGAGCCTGCAGCAGCAGCCGCCGCTCGACCTGCAGCAGCTGCCGCCGCCGAACCTGCAGCAGCAGCCGCGGCTAGACCTGCAGCAGCTGCCGCCGCCGAGCCTACAGCAGCGGCCGCCGCCGAGCCTGCAGCAGCTGCCGCCGCCGTCACGACTGCCCCGGCCCTGCCCTGCTAGAGCCGCACTGCCCTGCCCAACCGCGCTACTGCTGCTACTGTCACTGCTACTGCGCTGCTACTGTTCCTCCTACTGCTACTATGGCTAGCCCTCCTGTGCTAGCTTTCGATGCTGAGGGCCGCCCAGTGAAGTTTGACACCTGGCTAGATGACCTGCACCTCTTCCTACAGCTCACTGCCAAGGAGGACATTTCACTGTACGATCACGCCCTAGGCCATGCTACTGCCCCTCCTACCACTGCTGACAGCACTCAGCGCTCGCAGTGGCAGACTCGTGACGCCCACGCTCGCTTTGCTATTCGCAACTCCCTGCCGCTAGATGAGCGCGAGCACTTTGGCCAGCACAAGACTGCTAAGGAACTGTACACTGCTGTCGTTGCTCGCTACTCCTCACCTGCTTCTGCCGCACTAGGCCGCCTCTCTCTCCCCTACCTGTTCCCCGACCTGGCCTCCTTTCACACTGTCGCTGACCTCATCACCCACCTCAAGACTAGTGAGGCCCGCTTCCGCGCTGCTATGCCTGACGAGTTCCTGGCTAGCAACCCCCCACCGCTCTGGCTCACTCTCTACCACATCGTCACCCGCCTCCCTGACTCTCTGCGCGCAGTCAGGGATCACTTTCTAGCTCGCTGCCCCACTGAGCTCACCATTGCCCTCCTCGAGAAGGAACTCCTTGCAGCTGAGGCGAGCATCGTCGCTGTAGGTGCCTCTCGTGGCGAGCCCCGCACCCCTTTCTTTGAGGGGTGTTCCCCTTCCCCCCTTCTCCCCTCTGTCGCCTCTGCTTCTGCTGTCGACCTCCTTGGTGCTGAGAAGGTCGGGACCGCGTCCCATCTGCTGCAGCAGCCGCCGCCGACCCTGCAGCAGCAGCCGCCGCCGAGCCTGCAGCAGCAGCCGCCGCTCGACCTGCAGCAGCTGCCGCCACCGAGCCTGCAGCAGCAGCCGCGGCCGAACCTTGCAGCAGCAGCCGCCGCCGGACCTGCAGCAGCTGCCGCCGCCGAGCCTGCAGCAGCAGCCGCCGCCGGACCTGCAGCAGCTGCCGCCGCCGAGCCTGCAGCAGCAGCCGCCGCTCGACCTGCAGCAGCTGCCGCCGCCGAACCTGCAGCAGCAGCCGCCGCCAGACCTGCAGCAGCTGCCGCCGCCGAGCCTACAGCAGCGGCCGCCGCCGTCACGACTGCCCCGGCCCTGCCCTGCTAGAGCCGCACTGCCCTGCCCAACCGCGCTACTGCTGCTACTGTCACTGCTACTGCGCTGCTACTGTTCCTCCTACTGCTACTATGGCTAGCCCTCCTGTGCTAGCTTTCGATGCTGAGGGCCGCCCAGTGAAGTTTGACACCTGGCTAGATGACCTGCACCTCTTCCTACAGCTCACTGCCAAGGAGGACATTTCACTGTACGATCACGCCCTAGGCCATGCTACTGCCCCTCCTACCACTGCTGACAGCACTCAGCGCTCGCAGTGGCAGACTCGT